CTCTCTAACAATTAAACTTCAATTTACAGAACCAAGCTGACTAAATTGGTCAATTTCTTTAAAATAAAATATGTATATCGCCTCAAATTTACTCTACTAGGTTTAGTGGAAATAGCTGATATGATTTAGTTGAATAAATTCAACACTTCATTTTTTAGAGCACATAAACAACTCCTTTCATGATGAGTTCAGATGGATTTAATTTATAACATGTAACTAGGAGTTAAACTTTAAAGTAAAGAAGTAAAAGTATCATTTTTAGGTTTTAAAAGTAAGTAAAAGTAAAAGTCATGATTAAAAAAATACAAAACCTCACAAAAAAATGACAAGTACTGTAACAAAGTAAATGTACTTAGTTACTATACACCTATGGTTTTTGTTATTTATATATATATGTTAATGCTAGGTCAAACAATAGGCATTGGGTCACATATTTTGCTTACAAATTTTGAATTTAACCACCGACAGTCACTTCTTAGTGACACAGAAATGGTGCAGTTTATGAAATGGTCAGCACACATCGCTCCCATCACACGCTCTGTGTTCTGGAAGACGACCTGCAGCAGTTGTCAGCTTGTAAACAAGAGCGGAGCAGCTGGTGCGACCTGGAGCCGCTCCAGCTGCTGAGCAAAGGGAGCCTCGTCTTTTAACGCTCGTTCATTTACCTGACACCTCCCTGTCCACCAACCTGAAAGCAGCACCTGCCCCCCTCTGATCTACTCTGTCTGCTCTCCACTGTGACCAGCTTTGACATTTAGGAGGGAGTGGGGGGGGGGGGGGGGCATCATGGCAGCCTCAGATATAGGGGTGTTTGATTGGATCAGATTAGTGTTTCATTAACTATTTCATCTCTTTTCCCTGCAGTGTCCCTTTAATTAGGAGGACAGGTGTTTGGTGCCAGGTGTTGCAGGGGGCGTTTTGGCAGTGAGGCATGATGGGCACAGCGGGGGGCACTTATTACTTTTTATTTTTTTGCAAAAGATCAACATGAAAAGTCGAGGGGGGGACCCACTAATGCAGACCACTCAGACACTAAGATACCAAAGTTTTTTTACTGCATGTTGTATGGACGGGTATGAGGGCCAAAATTAAGACTATCCAGCAGTGGAGGAGACTGTATCCATATTCAGGGGCTGCATCGTCCAAAGGCCAAATTTGTCTGCTGCTTACGTCACAGCACRGCGCCGGAGGCTGTCCAAATTTGATAATAATCCCAGCTGGACCCAGTGCATGAGAGGCCAGCGCTGGCAAATGAGAAGGAGAATATTCATTTGTGCTAGCATTGGAGAGGCTAGTGACTAGCATGGATAAGCTGGTYTTAGCATTGGAAAGGCTAGTGACTAGCAATAAAGGCTAGTGTTCTTTTGTCTTCAGCCGAGTCATGAGAAATACCTGTCTATGACATTATAAATTTTAATTCAATAACTTCATACTAGCCTCTCCAATGCTAATGTCAGCTTATCCATGCTAGTCGCTAGCCTCTCTAATACTAATGCCAGCTTATCCATGCTAGTCGCTAGCCTCTCCAATGCTAATGTCAGCTTATCCATGCTAGTTTCAGTGTATCCGTGCTAGTCGCTAGCCTCTCTAACGCTAATGTCAGCTTATCTACGCTAGTCGCTTGCCTCGCCAATGCTAATGCCAGCTTTTCTATGCTAGTTCCAGCGTATCCATGCTTGTCGCTAGCCACTCTGATACTAATGCCAGCTTATCCATGCTAGTTCCAGCGTATCCATGCTAGTCGCTAGCCACTCTGATACTAATGCCAGCTTATCCATGCTAGTTCCAGCGTATCCATGCTAGTCGCTAGCTTCGCCAATGCTAATGCCAGCTTATCCATGCTAGTTCCAACCTATCCATYCTAGTCGCTAGCCTCTCTGATGCTAATGTCAGCTTAACCATGCTAGCTTAGCAACCGCTGGTTGCASAATAGTCTTAATTTTGGTCCTCATACTGCGCCATWTTCAGTACCTGTTCTCCACCTGTTCACACACAAACAATCCAACAGACTTTATATTCCTCTTCTCTCCAGGGCAAACTGTATGTCCACCTCTCCAAACTCTCTTCCACCTTCTTCATACTCTCACTACAGATCAAAATGTCATATCATTTTCTGAATAATTTTATTTAAAAAAGGAAAAGATTTCCCATATTCAGTTTTTTCATAAAGTTGAGACATAGGATCAGTTCTGTTGTTCCTCACCATATTTAATACTAGAAAACAACATGTCAGTGTTTTGTTTCCATGAACTCTAAACTGTTGTTTTTCAAAGCACTTGCTGAGTTTCATTAAAGGAAGAAGTATTTCAGAACAAGCGTGGGAACCTTTGCACACATAATCCGTCTTAGGCCCAATTCGATGTCCTCTACCACTCATTTTTCCTTACTGGCTCAGCTCTGGCACATAATCAAAACAAACTAACAAAAAAGACATTGATTTCCATCAACAGATTTTGTGGCAATTAGAACAACAGTGAGGGGGAGATACAGAGAGAATATCAGGAAAAAAAGAAAGATAAATGCAGGAATTGAGAGGTTTAAAAGAACTTGGAGAAAAAAAGATGGAGCAAGAGGTGGAATGCATCAAGTTTTAGTGTTACGGTAACTGCWGAGTCATGAAAAAGCCCTCCAGAGWTTAAAAGAGACACACAATTTTCAAACTCTAATTTGAGTTATTTTTCTTTTGCTGCTCTGAAGCTACGGTAACTAAAGCTAGAACCCCGTCACCTCTTGCAACCCCCCCAGGCTGCTGCTGGAAAAAAACATGTTCCCCTCCAACTTAGAAAAACCTTTATCAGGAGGAGAAAGGAAGAGCGTGCACACGTTGTCTCCTCTCGGAGCACATTTCTCTGAAAGATGACTTGTGTTTACATACGACTGCATTAAACACTCCCAGCGGAGCTGTCTGGGTAAACCAGCAGCAGCAGCCCTCGGATCAGCACGTGTGGGTTTTAACAAAGTGGAGTTTGGTTTGCAGTTGGCTGGCCCATCCGCCATGTTTAATACCCCCTGCTGAGAGAGCCGCTTCAATTAAAGATTTATACGACTTGTAACCGCTGTAAACAGCTCCTTTTATGTCACATGTGTGAACTCAGCAGGAGGGTAAACGCTTCTTAACGTCAGTTTTGTTTCATAGACCTCCTCACATCCGTTAGGTGTTGAAGAGCTCTGGCATAAAAAAGTCAGTGTTACATAATCAGCAAGGTGTATACCAAAAGGCTCAGGTGTGCAGCGAGTTAAAGCATTTTATCAAGTAAACACTGTCTCTGCATTGAATCGCTTAAAGTGAAGTTAAACTTCATATTTTCTGACTGAAAGTATGGCAAAGGCTTTTAAAATATCCCAAATGATCCATAAGAAGATGTGATGCTGAGCTTCTTCTTTAAACATATTATTGAAATTTTCATACTGTTTTCAGCAGATATCAGCTTTGTTTACACTGAGTGCAGACCCGCATTTCATGACTGGATTCAGTTTTTTGCTAACAAACAAGCAGAGTGCCTGTGACGTCCCTATCTTTCAAATACAAAAAGTCAAAGAAAACATCTTTATACTTAAGAAAATTGGCATAGTACAGATTATTTTACCCATTTTGTCACATAACTGGCCTATTTTTCTTTTGAATTTGGCTCAGCCAAAGTGAAACAGGAAGTGACATCAAAGGGGAACTCATTAATAAAATAAACTCTCTGGTTTTTATTTATTAAAACAAAATTATTTAAACTCTAACTCTTCTTTGTCTCTCTTTGATAGTGACTCAAAATAATCCAAAGAAACATCAGA